ATATAATTCGTAATATCCTTAGAACGCTAACTAATTATAATAGCGAAACTATCGATATTAACTCTTTTATAAAAGAAAAAGTAAAGATTATTACTTTTAAAGAACTAATATAATATAGAATAATATAAATAACGATCTTTAAAGAAAAATAAATATAGATTATCTCCTTTTTTATTAATAATATACTAAAGAAACCCTTTTAATTCTTTAAAAGCTTAATTTTATATTAATTTAATAAAAATAAATTACTTTTATAATATAGTAATTATTATAATTAATATATAAGGATTTATAATAGATAATAATTATATAGAAGATATAGAAATAAATATCCCTTTAAGGGGTACTCGGGACCCCTTTAATATATTAATTATTTAAGTTTATATAAGAGTAATTATAATAAATACTTAGCTAAGCCTATTATTAAGAATAGTAAGCTTACTCGATTAACGAGGACTAGAAAAAGATAGATCTAAAGATAAAGTATTAAGATTATTAACCTAGCTTATCTTTATATTAGAGCCCCGAACCTATAATTAGCAACCTTTATAATACTAGCTCCTAGAAAGGATATATATTTTAAGATTAATAAGGATAAAGCTATTACGATCTTAAGTAATATATTAAAAGACTTTAACTACTCTTATAATATATTCCTAGGTACGTTATTAATTACCTCGCTTATTTAATAAATAGTAAATAATTTAAGATCCTCTAAGTAAATACTAGTAAAAGTAATAAGACTTATAATATTACCCTAGGCCTCGCTAAAGCTAAGGAAGCGGATATTATTATAATCTAGGAACCCTAGACGTTAATTACTAAGAACGTAACGAAAACTAACCCTTATTATAATACTTACTCTTTAGTTATAAACTAAGACTCCTTTAATATTAGACTTTACGTTATTATATATATTAAGAAAACCCTTAATACCCCTAAATCCCTTTACTTTATAAATACCTTATATTAAGATATATACTATATTAAAGTATAAGGTATTATAATCCTCTATATTTATAGGGATATAAGAAAGAGTAATATTATAGACTTCTTAGAATCCTAGACCCTATTAAATAGATACTTTATACTTAGAGACTTTAATATATAATATATTAATTAATAATTAAAAGCGCCCCTATACTTAGTAACTATAATTATAATTAATTAAATCGATAGATATCTCCTCTAAGTCCTTAATACCCTAAGTATTATTATATACTACTAATAGAAGCCTAAACTTAATACTCTCTTATTAGACGATAATATATATCTAGAAAGATTAATAATCGATCTATATATTATAAATATCCTAAGAGCGAGGATATAAATTACTCTATACCTCTATATATTATTAAACTATATAATACTTATTATTACGATCCTATATAATAAAAGACTAAATTAACCTTTATAAAGAAGACTTATAGTAGCGGATACCCCTACCTTTATAGAATATATTATAAATAATACTTAGACGCTATTAACGGACTTCTTAACTTACTAAGCCCTAGATATAGTAATTAATACTCTAGATATACTACTATAAATAGTAATTAATATAATATCTATAAATAATAAGCCCCTATAATATAAACGCTAATAAAACGAATAATATACTATATATTATAGAGACTTTAATACCCTCTAAAAGAATAAAGCCCCTATTAAAGAAATTACTATTACGAAGAAAGCCTTCTATAAAATAATTATAGAAATTAAAGCGAAATTCTAGTTTACTTAGATTAAAGGGATAGAGATAGACTAAGATCTCCAAAAATTATAGGCTAAGAAAAGTAAAAGAGCTAATTTAGCTTCCCCCCCCTCTATAATAGGGATACCTTTATATTAAGACCTACTAATAAAATAAAACTCCTATAAAAGAGGCTAATAAAGCGGATAGACGTATAAGCTAATATTAGCCCCCTCGCCCCTATATACTTATAAAGAACGCTAAACTAAGATAATAATATTACTAAAGAAGCTATAAGAGCGGCCTTTATAAGGGTTAGTAATATATCCTTAGGGTATAATACTATTACTATTAAGATATTATAAGTAATTTAACCTATAATATAATACTTTATATATAGACTATACTAAGCTTACTTTATATAAAGATACTACCCTTTATACTATAAGTAAGTTAATATAGTAATAATACTAAAGCTAAATAAGGACGCTAATAGCTATAAAAGATAATACTCTATTTTACTCCTTTCGATAATTAGTAAGGGCCTAGAACGCTTTATAGCTAGGAAAGTCGTATAAGCTATAATTAGCTAAAGTATCTTTAACCTATAAATCGTTAATACTTTCCTAAAAAGATTAATTAATAATATAATAATATTACTAATATATAATATCGAAGCTATATTTATATAGAAATAGGTTATAACCTTTATTATTATAGATATAGAAAGCGCTTTCGATATTATTTTAAAAAATAAACTATATTATTAACTTAGAGAATAAGGATAACTTAATAACCTTATTTAATAAGTCTCTTACTTTATTAGCTATAAAGTAGTATAGGTCTACTATAAAAAATATATAATAAAGATACTCCCCCTATAATATAGCCTATTATAAGGGTCCTTAGCCTCCCTAATCCTCTTCCTCCTATATATAGAGCTAATATATAATATCGATATAAGGATATATAGGTTTAGCTATATTAATAATTATATAATTCTCTATATTAGTAAAATATTAAAAGAGATAATAAAAGAGGTATAAATACTATTAAATAATACCCTCTAATAGGGATAAAATAATAATATTAAATTCGATCTAAATAAGATAGAAATTATATACTTCGCTAAAGGGTAGACTAATAATCTATTAATAATATAATATAATAACCGAATTATAACTACCTAGGCCTTTATATAATAGCTAGGGATATAGCTCGATAAATCCCTCTCCTTTAAATATTATATCGAGAAGAGAGTCGCCTCTATACGATTAATAGTAGAGTATATCTATAGATTTAATAAAGTTATAAAAAGTACCCCCCTTAAGGCTATACGAAAAGCTATTTATATTATTATACTCCCTAAAGTACTATATAGCTTAGAAATATAGTACCTAGAGCTTAATTAACCCTCTACTTTCTAAAAGAATAGGGAGTTCTTACTAGTATATAATAGCCTAATAGAATAGATTAATAAGATCTAGGTTACTATTAATATAATAATTAAGAGCGTATTACTTATCTAGAAGATTACTCTAGTCCCTATTTTACTTAGAGAATTTAATACTTTATTAATATATATATTACTAGATAAAGTATATACTTAATATATATTTAGAATTAGCTCCTTTAATATAATATACCCCTTAATCCTATAAATAATATAATATAAAACCCTTAGGAACTATAATAATACTTTATAGTCTACGATCTTTATAGCTATAGTAAATATTATCTTATAATTCCTATAACCTATTCTCCTCTTTAAAGAGTTTATAGCTTTACTAATTATAGACTTTAAGGAAGAGATAATAAAACGATTTAATTACTAAATTAATAACCTCCCTTTAATATATCTTCTTATCTTAATTAATAGATTTTAATTTATAAAGGCCTTAGGCTTTAAATATATTATCTTTAAAAGTAATTATAAAGAATATATATATAAAAGGTACTAACTACTACCTAAAATAGAAATCTTTAATATAGAAGTAGAAATAATTAAAATAAACTTAAGAGAATACTTAATACTCTATATTAACTATAATACTATTATAATTATAATATACTTAGATAATATATCTACTATTTAATACTTAAACGGAACCCCTTTAGTCTCTTTATAAGAAGTAACGATTAACTTTCGCTAATTAGTACTTAGCTTATTAATACTAATTAACGTAAAGTAATCCCCTAAATATATTAGAATATATAGAAACGAGCTAGCTAATACTTTAGCGAAGAAAGGAGTAAATAAGATACCCTTTAGAGAAATACCTTTAACCTTTAATTATATTAAAAGACTATTAAAGAAATAATAACGCTTAGACTATAAATAATAATAGGAACGAGAATAACCGCTTAGCTATATAGAGCTCGATCTTATAACTATTATAAAACCTATAAAGGAACTCGAAGCTCTAAAGAGGATAGAACTTTACTATCTTATAGCTACTAAAATAGGATATAATAACTTCGAGAAGTACTATAAACGATTCGGATATATTAATACGAAAAATACTTATTTATATAGTAAAGATAAAACCCCTAATTACCCTTTATTTTATAAGAGGATATACTTAAGAACGAGCTTATTATAGATAGGCTAGCGATAATATATTAACGTAATATTTAGTAACGATTAAGAGTTATTTATAAAGATTATTAAAGATACTAACTTCTTTAATACTATATACCCTAGATACTAAATAGCGTATATTAGACCCTTAATTATACTTTATATAGCTCTCCCGAGGCGCTAACGCTTAGTAGGGAGCTAACTTAATACTTACCGATAACTTAGTACCCGATATATTATATAATATAGAAAAACTCGAGATAGAGTTATTAGAGTCCCTAAGTAATTATAGCTACGGGGGGTCTCTAATCCTAGTAGTAGCTAGAATATAGGATTTTATTTATATAAGTAGTATATAGGGACGTATAGGCGCCCGTTTACCCTTAGGGGATTTTTAAGGCATTTAAATATATTATTATTATTATTATCATTATTATTATTAAGAGATTCTCAGGTATATCAGTATTATTAACGATATTCTATTAGCTTTAATAACCCGGTTTATCGAGACGCCTATAGTTTTTTCGTACTCTTCCAAAGGTCCCTCATCCTGCAATACTAACCTCATAGTGCTATTCTGGGGTATCAATCCTCCTGATGCATCGCTAGCAGTAAGAAAAACAGAACCCGCCCGGTTTGGCTGACTTGGAGTCATGAGTTAGTTCTTCACCAAACAGCCCCTCTTCCTTCCAACACGTCCATGATCTGCTGCTCCTTTCTCGACAGCTAAGCGGTCCTAGAGCCAACCTCGTCATCAGCCATCCATTCTTCCATGAGGATGACCTGGTTCAACGGTGTTTCCTTCATTTCTCTTCCTCGAATCATGCCGTTGACGCAATACGCTGTGCTCACGAGGTGCTCAGCTCGTTCCACCTCTTCGGCGTGGTTCTTCACGGCGCGGCGTACCCAGCGCTTGTCGCAGAGGGGAAGGCGGAAGCGCTTCTTGAACTCGTCGGTATCTTCAAGCTCAGAGCGAGCCATCTCGAGAACTGCCTGAACAAATTTCGGCGGGTTCATAGCTCTCATGTCTGCGCAAAGGTTAGAGTCGAATTCAGGGGGGCCGATCTCGACAGATGGTAACTTACCAGCTTGCTCCTTTAGTGAACCTTGTTCAGCTGCTTGGTGGGGATCGGATGGACAGCGGGCTGATGCTCCATCATAGTGAAGCGAGAGTTGACCATTGGCGTCAAGAGGTAAGTCGACGCATCCTTTCTGTACCGGGCTTACAAGATCCTGGATCTCGATTGTTGTTTCTGTGCTGGAGGGCTCACCTGTAGAGGGAGTTCTCTCCATGTTGAGATCCTCATCAGATGTCACCTCTTCCTCCTCGTCCTCGTCATCGTCTTCCGAATCTTTGCTATGGTGACTTTCAAATGTGTTTTCATACTCAATGTCACCAAGCGCAGGATCGTGCTTCTCACGAATCTCTTCTGCCGCCGTGTTGCTGCTGTCGCTGCCGGTGTGGTATGCCGCAAAGATGACCTCGTTTGTCATTTCAATCTCGTGCATCTTGTTGGCGTCCTCATCGACCTCATCTGGCCAGCCGTCCTCGGTTGTGACCCACCCCGACGGCGACGCATCGGGCACAAAGAGATTCTCAAACTCCACCGGCTCACCGACGTCCATGTTGCAGGCGAACCTATCTTCCCAGCCTTCGACATCGTTCTCTCGCATCGTCACGGCCTCTTCCATATCATCTGCCCAGTCGAATCCTGTCGTTCCGACAGGCTGCGTACTGAGCTTCTCCAAAATGCCATCTCGAATCCTGGCGGCAGCAGCAGCCTGCCTCTTCTGGCGTGCAACGGCGGCGGATCTGTGCTCCACGAGACGCTCGATTCCAGCTCGTACATTGTTACGGTTCACTCGGTAAGCTCGGGTGTCGGTGAACACACGGTCCTCGTACGGCAACGTCTTGAGGTCGTTCTGCTCGTGGCCTTTGAGGAGTTGGCGCCAGACACTATAATAGTTCATGGCGTTGTGGTGGTCTGTAGCCTCTTCAGGGGTGTCGAACAGGTCAAAGATGGCCATGTCGGTGACGCTCGGTTGCTCCGCCATTGCTTCGCGCGCGAAGAAAGTCTGGCCGATGAGGCACAGTTTGTATGTGGAGCTGCTGAAACGATGGAAAAGCGAAGCCGACGTCCTGAAAGCGCAGGCTGAATATGACTGCAGCTGCGGAGAAGTGACAGAGATGTTGAGCCAGGTATGTTGCAGAAGTTCATAAACAATGCTCGTAGCTTCGATTTACCAGGGGTGAAGATCTGAATACCAACAGCGTATGATGTGGTACGAATGGTTTGGAATTGACTCCAGGCCAGAGCGTTGACCGCGAGGGTCCTGAGGAAGAAGTTCGATTTCGAATCCAGTGAATGTCAAAGATACTGAATTAATAAGTCATGTTCCATTCATACTGGCTGCTCTTGCCTTCCCAAATGCCTGGTGATACTGGGGGCGAGGCTTTCCCAATCGCGACTTCCTCCGTCATTGCAATCTGCCTTAGACACTTGGCCGCTCGAGCAAGGAGCATGAACATGCCATCCCAGCAGCCGAGAACCGGCTTAAGTACCTGAGGTTGCTACATCTCAGAGTGGAAGGGCAATGGTCCGACCACAACAAGCAAGGTGAGGTGGGTAGGTTTCTAAAGTCATTAGTCCGCAGCCAGACTTTGCATCGCTTGTCGCTTGGATGCAGTTGCTGTATGCTTAGCAAACGAATTCCAGATGTCTCGAGAACCACCTTTCGCTTCCCGGATTGCAGCGACGGTCCAGGCCACTCCAGCAGCTTCGGCATCGTGAAGTGGTTGGGTGACGTGATCACCTGACGTGACTCAGCTTCGTCTCCATGTCGTCGGTGAGACCACTCGAGATCGGGCGACAGCTCGGAGGGCCCCACGTGACCTAGAGCACTGGTCACATGACCAAAATGGTCCCACCAAGTTTATCGCAACAATAACAAGTTGGCTTCATAACTGCGTTGCTTCGTATCAACGGCTGCTGGTGTTTGTGATCCATGGGCTTTGTTTGGCAGAATGTATGAGAACGTTGAGTATTCGATCGAGATCAATGCATCCTTGCATACGGCCTAGCCCTCCACGATGCCGGTCAACATCAGACGTGTTGGGCAAGCGTGCAGCACAAACCAGCGACCGCTGCTGGAGCAACTCGTTCAGCGAGCCTTCTTCGGATATGGCTAGATCATGATCTCCAAAAGAGAATTTGTTCATTTTGAATCATGACACACTGACTGTGCACTCACAATTTTGCCTCCGGCCAACTCGACGCTGTCGGTTGGTGACGGATGTTCAAAAGAACGCTACACCAAGAACCGTAATACTCTAAAGTATTTCGGATAAAAGAAATCATCTCTACAAGGTATCAAGGCTCATATACAAACACCACATCACGTCCTCCTCCTCCTCCTTCTCCTCCAGTCCCATGCCCCTACATCGCCTGCCCAGGTGCGACCGTACTCCTCTCCGACCTCATCTCGAACCACATGGTCTTTCGAATACCACTCTCCGGCCGCCCTTCCCTATGCTCCTCCTCCTCCTCGCCCCTGCCCTGCCCCGTCAGCGGCCGCAGGATATACTCCTCGCTGTCGCCGCGCGTGGCGCGCACGAACGCCGCGGGGTTGTCTGCGCCCTTTTCGAGGTCGCCGCCGCGCGTGGGCATCGGCTCGAGCGGAACGTCTGGCGCGCCCTGGGGCTGTTCGGACGCGGATGTCGCGTTGGACGGTGACGTCTTGGCCGTTGTGCCGAGGATGGAGGGGAAGAGGTAGGCGAGGGGCAGGCGACACATGGGCAGGCAGGCGCAGATGATGGCCACGTGAATCTCAATCATCGTCCACAGCGTAGAAGCTATGTCATCTATAGTTTCACAACGTGTTAGCAACTCGTCGCGTGTGCCGGAGCGGACTGAAGGGGTACGGGGCCACGAACATGTGGGGTCCGGGCTGCGGGTGGAAAAGTTGAGAGTCGTCATGCGCAGGATGCTCGTTACCGTGACGAATACGCCGAGGCCGAACACGCCCATGAGGGCCCGCTTGTGGCTGGTGGGCAGCTGGCTCTTCCAGATGACTCTCTGGGGCAGCAGGATGATGGCGACGTCTGTTGAGATGGAGAAGATGGCGTTGGCGTACCAGTTGTACGTCAGTGAAATGCACGTCCCCGGAATGGAGCGGTTCCAGGCACGCGGGATGGGCGTGCACTGGAAGATGGAGGACGCTGTGGTGGCGATGCAATAGAGGAGGATGACCGTCAGGAGGGCGATGCAGGTGATGCGGAACGGTCGGTGAAGGGAGAAGAGGCGGAGGTAGAGCAATAGGATGGAAGATTTGGTGAGGTTGATTGTGAGTTTGTAAAAGATTTGAGCAACGTAAAACAGCTACGGTTGATGTCAGTCCATGTTTGCACGAGAACACGTTGGTAAGTACAGCTGAAGGTACCTTCATTGCCATGATGCGATTGCTCTTCTCAATATTAAAGATGTGCTGGCCAAAGCCGTAATGAACCGAGGCCATCATGAGCACCGAAACCGTCATACAGCAGGTCTACCTCTGTTAGCCCGCTTCGTTGATCATCTCAGAAAACACTTACAAACGAGACCAGGATGGTCCAGTCATCCCACCCAAACCCTGAGCGCAGCTTGAGTCTTGACCAGATGCGCACCGTGAAGAAGATAGGCGTCAACACAAAGAAGACCATGCACGGCACTTGCACCATGAGCGCATTGCTCTCTCCGGGAATATTGCCGGGGGCGCCCATATTGGCTATGTCACTCATGTGATGTGGCTAGCGAACGCTGGCGGCAGTAGCCTTCTTGACGCTTGGTTGTGGGATGAAGAAGTATGGTCGTACGTCACGCATATCGGGACACACTGGTTTCTTGGGGCGGAGACAGCGTTGGATATATGTCCTTCACGACGTGCCCTCACATGAAGTCGGGCCCAAGGTGCTGGGCCTTGCGGAATGCATGTCGATCCGAGTTCGGACTGGGGTGCTGGGCGCTTCGAACGGGAGAAGAGGGCCAGCCAGGGTGGCGTGGGAGAAAAGACTTGGGGGAATGAACACCGGGCTTGAGCGGCCTGTCTCAGTCGACACTGGCGAAGAGAGACGAGCGGATGGTTGTCTTCGGACAGCGATATGAGTGAGGGCCTTTGATCTCCAGGGTCCAGGTCTGCAGCTGACGACGTTGTCGATCGGCTTGCTCCGGCGCAGAAGCAATTATGAGGTTGTGATAATGCACAATATGGTTCGAGGACGCGCAGCGCTTGCTATCTGCCTTCAAATGAACACCAAGACGCGCCGCACAGTCCCGACACACGAAGCAGGCAAACAACACGGCGACGTTGGTTGACCGGTATTTGCAAGATGGTGTGAGGAGGCCAAGACCTGCATTGCTTCTACGAAACATAAGACAACCCATCACATCACATCTCAGCTGTCAGGAACCTGCTGGATCGAGGCCAGTAGCTGGGGCTAGCAGAAAGCTGCCGGTAGATAGTAGTGAAGAATCAAGAGGAAAGACAGATTGTGAGGGATCAGTGGCTGGGTTGTCGGTCAAGGCATTCCTCAGCCGCAGGGAGAAGGATGGCACACTGCCGGCGTGGGACGCCTCGAGGTGGTCGGTCGGTGGGCTTAGCTGGGCCGTCCCGTGGATTCGCGTGTCGCGCGGTCAGGAGGAATGGGCAGCAGAGGGATCACTCAACGTGAGAGGCCAGCTGCGAGCGAGGTTTCGTCGATCAGGTCGGCAGTGCCGCAAGAGGTAGTGGGCGCGGAGAATGAGATAGATAGACAAAACGGGCGATGCAGTCGATGTGGGCAACTGTCTCACCTCGAGCGAAGGCGTCCACTGAACGACAGAGCAAGCTAAAAAAGTGTGCAACATTGCTTCTGGCACAGAACAAGACATTGCGAAGCTACCAATGAACCGGCGTTCAATAGCTTGACCCCACGTCGCTCAAGTTCATCTCCTCATTGAACGCCCTGTTCTGCTCATGTTTTGCTTCCTGCCTCCCAAATCAACAACTATAGAGCTGAAGGAAGACCAGAAATGGCAATTGCGCGATTCCGAGCGAACCGGCCGTGATCCAGCGCTGCGCAAGCGAAAAAGCAAGCATTCGAGTCACGTTGACCCGAGACCCAGTGTTGGTTGGACAGAATAGCGAGGTGTGCCAGTGATGTCTTATGTTTAGGTTCCGAGTGCTTGGATGTCGTGATGCAACACAGCAAGGGAATGCGGGCGAGACGTCAGGACTCGGCAAACGAAGGGAGGGATGGCCTGCAGCATGCTTCAGCATCGACATGAGAGAACGTGAGGTCCACGAGAATCTGCACTTTAAGAGTGGTGACCGAGATGTCACTCAGTCATACCCAACGTATGTGGCAGATGGAAAGTCGATCGGCACGAGGTTATCATCATTTCGTTGGCACGCATGCTTGGGGCATCTGTCTCCCAACCTTGACTGGGCTTCTTCCCTTTCAGTTCCCACAGGGCCCCCACGAGGGCCCTTTACTCTTGGCCAGTGTTGAAGAAGCAAATAAATGCACTGATCAATAGCCTAGAGTCCGTGGTCGCGAGAAGAAAGTCGGGACTTGACGAGACCATTTGCGGCGTAGGTCCCATATCGCCATTCTAGACCTGGGTGACTGCGATAGCCTGGACGACGTGGTCCTCCACAGCTGCAGGGGCAACTCCCTTTATTTTTTGTCCATCAAATAGGTAGGCAAAGGAGGTTTTTTGAATTAGCAATGTGTTTTGTTCCTCCTCCCAAGGCATCAGTGGGATTTACGCTTGAGTACTGCTTCTGGTAGGCGAATCGATCTCTGACGATTCTTCTTGTCTCGATCCATCTAAGAAATCGCCAAACTTCATTGCGAGGTCTCTCTCACAATCCTGTCCTTTCCGAGTTCCTATGTAGGTACCACTACAGTTTTCTAAGCGAAGCCATACACAGCTGACCACTCAGACATTCTCCATTTCACCATGAAGCTATCCATCCAGTCGATCATGGGCCTGATGGCCATGGGAGGCGTCGTCACCGGCCTCACCACCAACAGC